TATTAACTCAAATAGCATGAAGAACTCGTAAGTTTTAAGACAGAGGAGCAAAGCAGAAAGGAGCTGATGGACCCTTCCTTCTCTAGCATTACCTGGACCGACATTCCGTCTTTCTGCCCCCTTCTCATCACCAGGAATTCAGCATGTTCGTCCCTGAACGAGGTGCGTTTCTCTGCAAACGCCAGGAAGGTGGGCTCGGAGGGCAGGTAGAGCAGGGCCGGGATGCGGTACGTGAGGCCATCTGGGGCAGCCTGGCAGAAGAGCGTCACCTTCTCAGAGTGACCTTGAGGCTCCGACATTGTTTTCTGGAAGGTCAGCCATATTTAAAGGAAGAGAAGAAGGAACACAGGAAGCATGAGAAGTTTTTCATCTTGTCGCAAGATGCCCGGAGTCCCAGTTCTGGGAAAAATACCAGGGTGTAAACACAGTCAAGAATCAGTCAATCAACCAAGGGTTCAGTCACAAAACAGAAATAAAAATTAAATGCAAAGTATCGTGGGCAGTTTTCCAGTCATAAGAGGGGGGGGCTGTCATTGCGAATGTGTGGCTTTCCAGACGTAGCTGGGCTGAAAGGTCCACCATGACAGCTCCTGGAATCCACCCCCCCTCCCAGCTGGTGCTGAGAGATGATGGGGGCCACACTCCACCTTCAACATCCAGGGGGCTATGGGTGTCCCACCTGCGCTATGAAACAAAAGTCACATAAAAGCAAAAAAACCCGAAGGAAATCTTGGAACAAAAACCCAGATCACGTTCCTTCAACCCTGTCGCCCTCCTGACGTGTTGGTCAAGAAGGGCCCTGGTGGCTGGGGAGGATGGGAATTATAGTCTGGCCAATGCAGGAAGAAAGGAGAGGCCCACAGATGGACACCCTTTACTCAGTAAAAGAAATATAAATAGCCGTGCGTAATTTGCTGTCCCTCTTTGCTCTGAAAGAGAGAGAGAGAAAAATCTCCTTCCACAGAAGAAAGTTTCATGTAGTCTGAGAAACACTAATTGATCTTACAGAATCCTGTATTCCATTCCCAAGACAAACAAACAAATAAAACCTCTCCACCTGTTAATAAAAGCAGTCAAATGAAGTAATTATTGCCATTAAGAACATGACCAAGGAGATAAAAGAATCAGTGTTAACATTTCCTCCACTCTGAAGGAAATCAACCCCGAGTGCTCACTGGAAGGAAAGATCCTGAAGCTGAGACTCCAATATTTTGGCCATCTCAGGAGAAGAGAAGACTCCTTGGAGAAGACCTTGATGTTAGGAAAGTGTGAAGGCAGGAGGAGAAGGGGACGACCGAGGACGAGATGGCTGGACAGTGTCTGCGAAGCAACCAACATGAATTTGACACAACTCCGGGAGGCAGTGGAAAGCAGGAGGGCCTGGCGTGCTCTGGTCCACGGGGGTCACGGACACGACTTAGTGACTAAACAACAGAAGTGTTGCTAAAGGTCGAAATTTGAAAAAAGAGGGATGAAGGGGTCTCGTTAATACATATAATGTATACATATATATATCTTAGCCTGACCATAGTCATATTGCTTTTGTAACAGCTTTGATGCATGGTTAGGTCTTTGCTTGCTAGACAAGAATAGATACAGAAGGGAGGCCACCTGCATTCTGTTGCTTGTAAGTAACTGGTCTAATTAAAAGTCTGTCCTTGGAAACGGTTCATGCAATACCAATTATAGAACACCCCCCCCCATTTCTCCACCTGCTCCCAACCCTCTTGGTCCCGCTTTCATGTTATGCCTTATAAAAATGTACTATACTTCTGTATCAGTGGGGCGCCTTCTCCCTCTCATGCTTTTCCTGGGAGTGGAGATTGTGCCTTATTTTGCTGCCTTTCAGCTGGAAATAAACAAATGTCTATTCAGGATCTCTCTGGCTGATTGATTAATATGTCAGAGACAGGCAATAAATATTAGGAATTCGTCCTGGGCCCTTCATTTATTAATCTTGGGACCCTTCACTATATTCCTTGTTTTCAACCTTACATTTAGTCTTTCGGTGTTACAAGCTGCCTTGGGTTTCTTGTCAAGGGGAAAGGCGGGGTTAAAAATATTAGAAAGAAAGAAAGAAAGAAATTCCCTGCTGCCCTCAACTTTTATTTAGAGAGGTTGGGAATCAAACCTGGAAACTTTAGCTAAGATCCTCTGTCCATGAGCTACAGTCCTTCAAAGGGAGAAGGAAGCTGTCAT